GATATTTCAAAAAATATGAAAAAAAAAAAATTACTGTGAAAGGCGAGTATTTTCCTGACAAATGCATTTTCTCAGTTGTAACGTCTTGTTTGTGGTTATTTATTTTAATTATTTATTTGATGATTGAATCAGATTTGTGTGTCCTCAGATTGCAAGCTCTATATTTGATGAATACAGTCAAAAGTTGCACTTATAAAAATTTGAACTTCCACTATGAAAACTGCCAGAAAAAAAAAAACAAACTGCTCCAGACATCACTGTCAGGTTTTCTCAGCTTGAAAATTCCTGTTTTGTCCGGAGCCACAAATCGCTGATAAAGAAATGTGTTTGTAAATCTTTTTCTATTATCAGAAAAAACATCTCTGTATCTCTGTGTGATTTATTAAGTGTAGTCAGTGTGAAGGTGACCTCCATGACTTCATAGTTGGTGCCAAAAGAGATCATTGTCACATAAATGTTTGTAGGTATATCAGGTTCTGTTCATGTACTGTACTGTATGTCATTTTCTATTATATATCTGTTTCATGGATTCTCTATGCATCTTGTCTATCTGTCAGTGTCACTGCTTGAATATGTTCACCATTAAATTTGGTTTGTTTCTGTCACATCAACGTGAACAAGCCACTGTGGTGGTGATCCTCATGATTTCTTCTACAGAGCCTTGAAAGAACATTAAAGCATTTTATGATTCACACGTTGGATGGAAGCTGTGTTTCTTTAGTTGTGTGTGGGAGTGAGACGGGAGGAGGAAGAGGAAGAGTGCATGAACTTTGGTCAACATTTGGTCAGAGAAACACGGAGTTGTTTTTTACAACAGCCACCTCGTCCTGTCAAAGTGTCCCCAGCCTGATGATCGCACTGAATTGCCATTTTATTTCACATCATTCAATGTGCTTATACTGTTAAGGGTCACAGGAGGCAGGGTTCACCCCGGACAGGTCACCAGACTATCACAGGGCTGACACATAGAGACAGACAACCATTCACACTCAAAATCACACCTACAACGACAATTTAGAGTCACCAATTAACCTGCATGTCTTTGGACTGTGGGAGGAAGCTGGAGCACCTGGAGGAAACCCACGCTGACACAGGGAGAACATGCAAACTCCACACAGAAGACTTCCCCATTCCGGTGTTCAAACCAGGAACCCTCTTGTTGTGAGGTGACAATGCTAACTACTGTGGTGAGGAGAAGGATAACGAGACACAGGTGAGGCTAATCAGGGCGGGGCCGACATCAGACACAGGTGAAGGCATCAAAAGGGAGGGAAAACACGGGGGCAGGAAGTGAAGTGATAAGATAAATTAAGATGAGATTAAGATAGACAGGATCGGAAATACTTTACTGATCCTCAGGGTGAAATTATGACACATTGCAGTTGGTCTTATACTGAATATAATCATAGGGAAATTAAAAGAAAATAAAATGGAAAAAAGGTATAAAAATGTGAATGGTTTCTCCGGGTTCTCCAACTTCCTCCCACAGTCCAAAGACATGCAGGGTAGGTTAATCAGTGACTCTAAATTGTCTTCAGGTGTGACTGTGAGCCTTAGAGGCCGTTTACACGTTGCCGGCTATTTTCATAAACGGACATTTCACCGTCTCCGTTTTCAAAAAATTCTTCGTTTACACTTACCTGTGTATATATACACAAGAGCATGCCAAACCTGTAGGTGGCAGTGTAACGAGAAGCTCAAGCCTTCCATGTATCCATTGTCACCATAGCAACATAGGTCGCACTCATGGGTCGCACTTTTGACACAGGCGCAAGTTCTGGCACATACTGTGACGTCGGCTGCCTATAACTCCTTCTATCTCCGTTTATCTCAGTTTACATGCAAACGCGCAACCGGACTTTTCCCAAATCTCCACTCTGGCCGGAGTTTTTAGAAAGACTCGTTTTCAGAGGAGAAATCTCAGTTTGCGTGTAAACGAAGGGCACAAACGAAGGAAGATGTCTCCGTTTATCAAAATCACCGTGTACGTGTAAACGGCCTCTGAATGCTTGTCGGGCGACCTGTCCAGGTTGTACCCCGCCTCTCGCCCAGTGTCAGCTGGGCTAGACTCCAGACTTCCTGCAACCCTGTACCAGGATAAACAGTTACAGAAATGAATGAAAGGCAAGAATAGAATAATCAAATGTTGTCTTGTGTAAATGAATTTTTGCACAGCATATTGCACAGCTAAATTATTGATGGTTAGTGATAATTATATGGTTGAAAGCCTGCCAAAACTTAATGTCAAGCAGTGCTGAACACCATATAAGGAGATATAAGGATTGTAAAGGGGAATCAATGACCAATGTGTTGACACTTTGTGCCACAAGTTGGCTTGTATTTCACCTTCAAAGCATCAGGTCAGGTAGGATTTTAAAGTTTCTGGCGACTCCCAGTGGTAAAATTAAAAAAGACACTGAGGCAGACAAATGTTGTCAAGAACCTGCAGCCTTCCTGATGAGAAAGTGCTGAGTGCTTGATATCGTGATATGTAAAAGAGCACTTCTGAGGTCACAGCTCAGTTTGGTCCAACAGGATAAAAAACAACACTGGAGAGCTGAGGTCAGTGGCATGATATCAAAAAGTTTTATTACAATGGAGTGACACAAAATACATTTTTTTCCATAAATGACTGTAAAACGACAAGACCAATCTTTTAATTGGTTAGTGTCAGTGATGCATTAAAAGCTCATTTTCTGCAGAGCGTAAAAGTCTCGTCTACATGATCCTGCTGAGGTTAAAGGAGTGTTTACAGTCAAACACATATCTCCAGCTGATGCATCTGATCAAAGCCTCATATTTACAATAATAATCCATCATGGAGGCATTATTTGTCTCACCCATGACACAAGGACAGAGCATTAACTTGGACAGCGTCAGTATTTTTTTTTAAAAGTTACTTTAAGCAGCTGTTGAAAGCAGCATGAATCTGAAAAACGTTAGCAACAGGAAGCCAAGCAGTAAGCATCGATACATATAATCACCCAGCGCGCAGGCCATGATACAGCTCGTAAAAATATTTTACATAAAACGCTGTCACATTGACTGACAAATGTTCGTAGAGTGACTCGGTTACAGTAGCTTAATTCACTGGTAAAGATGAATTCATTGAGTCAGTAATGTTCACTTTTTAAGAGAAGTCTTCACTTTGATGCATTTATAGAACCAAGAGACACACAACAAGCAACACGAGCAAATTTCTTCCATTTCCAGCAGCTTTGTGAGGTTCAAACAGACATTTGGTGTTTAAGGGCTCACATGAGAGTTGGGTCGATTTCAGGTTTTGCCGGTCTGGTTCGGTGTAAAAGCTGAAACTGGTTTAAGTTTATGCAAACCATCTGAACCAGCTGTATTTGTCATTATGACAAGTACTGCCAAATTAAAAAGTAGTCTACACCAGCAACAATGTGATAAACATAATATTATGTTTTTTTAATAACAGATTAATGGAGCCACTACTGTCTGACAGGACACTAGTGGAAGGGCGGACATGCTACACCTCATTGCCCTCCATCATCCTCCTCCTCATGAGCCTCCCCCAAGGGTGCTGTACCATGTGTCATGTCTCACCACATCTCCTCTCTCCCCTCTATCTCTCTTTTGAGTGTAAACCAATAGTTTTGTGGTCGTGCAGTGCATGAATGTATTATAAAAACAGTGCCATTGTGGCTAGCTAATGTTAGCCGAGGTGCAAGCAGAGGTGATTTTTTTCCCTAGAAAGGCGAAGACATGACCCACACTGCTTTGCCTCTTATCCTAAACCTAACCAGTCTCACTCCTCTTGTCTAAACCTAACCAACTCAACCAACAAAGGCAACAAGTGGCTAATGTTAGCTAAAATGCTAGCAGAGATAAATTACGGGACGGCCATGGGAAGTGGGAGGGCAATGAGGTGTGGCCGGTCAGCCACCAGATATACCTGGATTTTGCTGCCGAGCCGAGGCCGGCAACATGAGGGAGATTAAATTTCCGTAGACGTGTTAGAGGGGTAGATGTGCACTGCACATGTTTACAAAAAGTTAATGTGTTTTTTGGGGTGGCGAGACGGGACATGGCAGAGTTAGTCTCAAAGAAAACTAAAATGCTGAGCAATAAAAATGCTGATTTATTTTTGTAATTTAGGTGTTTATTGGCGATTGGCAAACCAGCTCAGAGATGCATTACTGCCACCAAGTGGACTGGAGCCGCTTCACTCTCATTCATGGGCTTTCTAACGCCCGGGCCACACTGCCTCTGTGAGCAGCACCTGTGCATTAAAGAGCCTTGGTTAATTTTAGATGCCCATGTTAACAGGTTAGAGCAGCCACACTGCCTGTGTGAGCAGCGCTGCTCTGCTGCTACATCTTGAGGTTTGGAGTCTTGCCTGTTTTTCCGTGTGAAGTGTGCCGTTTTCAGCAGAAACAGACAGTCAGTACGTTTACATGGACAGTTTAATTCCACTTTTAATCGGAATGAAAGGCCATTCCGATTAAAAGTGGTCATATAAACGGTCATTCCTATTGAAAATTAAATCCGATTAAAGGGGGTGGTTTATTCCGTTTGTCATTTCGAATTAAAGAATTTTGTGTGCATGTACACACTCATTCCTCTTGAAGTTCATTCCGGTCTTTCTGCGCATGCTCGTTTTCTTGCCCTTCTGGCACGATGACGTATATAGCGCGCACAGCAACGGGCTGAGATAGAGCAGTCAGACTCGTTTCACTCACCGGCCTCCATTCGCCACAGCACGGTCTTCTACCTCCCTTCCCCTCCTCAACAGACGAAGCATTAGCAGAACAAGGTTGTTGTCGTACTGCTGCTTCAAGAATATAAGCAAAACACGCCCCAAAAAGGCACTAACAACGGCATCGTTGTCCAGAGCGAGGACTACAGTGTTTTCTTCCGGTAAATGTAAACATGTAACATCCGCCCCGCCCCCTATCCAATCAGAAACCTTCCCTGCCCCAAACCTTGCGCAGACCTGAATAAAGGCGATTAAACTGATCTCCCGTGTAAACCCTCATTCGGAATGAATATTTCCCATGTAAACTACCTGGAAAAACTTTAATTCCGAATGATTTCATTCAGATTTATTTCATTCCGAATGAGAAGCCATCATGTAACCGTAGCCAGTGGAAATGGTTTTTTGATAATCATACTGACATCATACCACCTTTCAAAACAGTTTTAAAGTCTTTATCTGTCACAGAAGAAGTATATAGTTTCATTTTTAACTCAACACTTCCTGTTTCCATTTCAAAATAAAAACCCTCTCAACATCACTGTTGACAGAATCCCTTCATTCGTTAAGACAAGGCTTTTCTTAGTGAGATTTTTTGCAGGACTGTGTTCTTGATGACGCAGTGGTTCGCACAGCTTTATAAATTTTAGGAGTGCCGGCTTTTAACTGTGGAAATATAGTAGTTATAGCAGCAGGCAGCAGCAATGCTGTCTGTGTGAACACCACAAGAGGCAGCAGTTCAGCGAGTTTGCCGTCACACAGGCAGTGTGGTCCTGACATCAGTCTCATTATGGTTCACTCAGGAGCAGCTGCTGAGTCAAGTGTGACACCTAGTGGTAAAATTTGGTATGCTGTTTGGTTTTTGGAATAATATCAAACCATTTTCAATTTTTTTTTTCGCACTGGCCCAACCCTAGAACACACAGTAAATAAACAATAAATCACATCCAGCCCAGAGTGCTGTAGAGACATTAAAATACCTGGAATGACTCATTTATCCTCAACTGTAGAGGAAGAAAGACCCACATCTTCTCTAATGCTTCATTCATATCTCATTTTCAAAATGGACTCACAAAACAAAACAAATAAATGTTTCCTCACATGTTAAAATATCTCTCACTCTTATCGTCTCCAATAGCTATGTTCATCAATACTTATACCAATGATTGGTGTGAAATTATGCCAATATTAGTGCAAAACATCATTCTATACTCTAATTACCTGGAGTAATAACTTTCAACACTGCAGTTATTTTAGAATCTCTAAGTTTTTTGGTTAATTTTATGTTACATGCTACACATCGCAGTGATGTGACACTGCAGTCACGCATTACGTCTGGCACAGTACTCAAACCTTTCACATATATCAACATCCGGTTCTGTCCCTTTTTTAAAAAAGAAAAGAGTAGCAGGATTTATTGTACATACGTAGTCAAATCATCCTGCAGCTGTCCGCTGATTTTAAAGTAATCATATCAATAATACAGAGAAAATCAGTAGTGGTACCTTTCAGCAGTTCATAAATAGCCTGTGGTTCGAGTTTCTGTTTGCACAGAACCACAGGCAGGGAGTCAAAGGTGTTTGCGGGTAAAGTGATCTGGGGCGTTTCAGGACATCAGGGCTCGTGTGGCGGAGAGTCAAAGAAAAGCTCCCGACATAACCTGACTGTGTCCTCTGGAGAGTAGACTGTGAAACCGATGGTCCTCGGGTCATTGAAAATTTCATAGTCGTTTCCTCCCTGAAAAAGAGAATCATTAAAAATATAAACACAGATCAACACTCCTTCAGCTGAGGCTCTAATCTGCAGTCATGACATTTGAACTTTAACCTCTGAGCCTGGATAAACAGTCAACGGCTGACCGAGTATTCAGCTGTGGCTTCATGGTAAGTTATCACTGCAGACATGTTAACAATTAGGACAAATGTTGGGGCACTGCTTGAACAGGGACAGTCAAGATTTGTGGCTGAGATGACAAAAGCCATTTTAACACAGAGATGGCGTTTAAGGGCTGCTAGGAAGTCCCTTCTTCAGTCCGCCTTTGCATTTTAACACAGAACCAAACAACTGTGGCATCATACGTTCCAGTGTGTGATTATAGACAGCATCCTGGCATTGTGGAATCAAAAGAGGCGTGACGGGCATGACATGTAACACAACTACTGTGACATATAACATTCGTGTCATCAGTTCTTTCTAAACAGTAACAATAGCATTACATGGCTCTAACAATCATTTACTGTCTCTGTTACATGGTGGCTGATCTCGACCTCTGCTCAGAGGGTAAGGAGCTCCTGGACCTCATTGTTTTCCTGAGTTAGCCCCTCACTGTTACCAGTTACTTTTTAATTCTCTTGCAGTGGGTCACACCCATAATATGTCGTCAAAATGTCACACCTACGATCCCATCCTGCTGGCTGTCCCATTTACACAGACATTGTTTCGGCACTGTTACTACCTCCGTTACCGGCTCAGAGGCGAGACCCCTTTGTGCAACTATTCCACAATCATATAACGGCAAGGCGGCACAATGGCGCAGTATTCCCACCTTGAACAGGCGGTGTAAAAGTGACTAAAGAGTCACAGAAGCCTTTGACAGTCAAGCAGGAAAGGGGGCAAAAATTGAAACGACAAAGACTCACAGAAGTTACCAAAGGTCGTATTGGAAAAGGAGCAAAACTAATTGTGTCCACCTGGGTGTCATGTTCCCATCACTGCTGATTGGGGCTGGAGCCGATAAATATCCGTGACCACAGCAGAGTCATTTGTCCCGGGAATGAACGCAGTGTGTAACCTTTCCCACTAAAGACAAAAGCTACATGCTGGTGGCTGTTGGTGGGGGTTTTTGTCCAGTGGGAAAGGGGCTTAATGCTCTTTCGTGGCTGAATGGGTACAAATCCCTGCAGCCAGGTTCCTAAATCTTTGTGGCAAACACAGTGGAGGCTGTTCAGCTCCTTTTCCACTGAAGTTAGAGTATATATGGAGGTTTTTTAAAAGCGGGAAAACACGTGAAAATAGTTGACAGACTCCTGTCCCATTGCCAATAGTAGTGCTGGCTTCATAGTAGCAGATTAAGTCCCATGGTTTTAAAATGAGATGTTTGGGTGTCGACATATTCTCGTCTATGTTGTATTTAAAGTATGCAAGTGGAGCACTGTCGGTGTCTGTATCCACTTGGTGTGCATCCAGCCCTCCTGTAAACATTCCCCAAGATGAACTTACGTCTGAGGTCTCGTTGCCAAAGAAGTAGATGGCGTCCAGGCCTTCCCTCTCCAGCTGCTCTAAACACAGTCTCTTATCCCAGCCCTCTGGAAACACGTCAAAGCTGATGAGACCGCCTGCAAAACATGACGACAGAGAGAGAGAGAGAGAGATTATCATCATCATCAGTGTAACTCTACACACTCATATCCACTGTGTGTTCCTTGAATAAATACCTTTAACAATATCATTGATTTAAAGAGGAGAATGTACAGGGAAAAGGAAGGACAACACAATTTTAATAAACCAATACATGCGATACGCTGGTGAATACTTTCCCTTTTGCTCTCCTCCAGCTGTATTTACAGTCAACAGCTCTGTGGAACAAATGTTGTTTACACCGTTGTAACTGATGGAGGCTTTTGGAGCTCTTCATGCATCAGGGACAAACCTGTTTGTCTTAACAGTTCAAGAACTTGTTGGCAGGCACTCGTACTGCACTATTTATAGGATGCTTCAGAAATTAACACACGCCCAATGTGCTTTATCTTTTGACCAAACAATGCAAAGTACCTTCTGTATTCAAGGAATCCAGATACGACTGTAATGTGTGATTACAGCTGCAGCTCAGATAAAAGATCCTGACTGCAATGTGTGACTTTTAAAAAGTCTCTTTCACACATGCAGTCTGTCCCTGATACGTTTGGGAACATTTCATGCATGGGGTCATATGTGAACGGGAGCAGGGTTTGAAAGTCAGTGAAATCTGTACCAGCAACTTCCCTAAAGCCCCTTTCACACATGCACTTCAACCCTTAACTTATCTAAATATTACCCAGAGGAACTGTGTGTGAGAACGTGAACGTTTAAGTAAATGGATTTAACCCGAGTTCAAAGTCTGTGTAATGTCCGATAGAGCCCGTGTGAATACAGCATGTCATTGTCAAGAGAATTCACAGCCAACAAGGTGGTGTAGTGATGACCTTTCTAACATCTCTTCATGCACCTGATGAAGAATGGTCATTTACACAAACACATCTGTGAAAATCTGTAACTGGCGAGGCGACGAGAACTGGGAACTTCTGCCAGTTAGGGATGTGGCCGATATCATCAGACAAATTCAAGGAACTCAGTTGCTTATCACAAAATCGTGAAGCGGCTACACAAACAAAACACTGCGATCTCCGCAGCGTACTCTCTGTGTCACGTCCTGCCTCCTGCGTGCTCTACCCAGGCATCACCCCATATCTACACCTCACGGAGTATTTCCTGTAGGTGAGAACACATCTGACATGGACAATCTCCTCATGTGTGCTACATGGGTTAAAAGGGCAACTCTGGTCAATCTTTGGACCTGATTTATATGAGAAAACAGCTACAAACACACACTCCACTCAGCAGAGTTTTGCGATTGGTTTACTTGCTCCACGTAAAGGCGTCTTTCATCAGATAACCGATCCCTTTGCATACTCATCCCTGCAATGTTGTTGCTTTCAGTTTGGTCACATCAAAGCTGTACCAGCATTTCCCCATTAATCTGTCTTCTCTGTCTGTGTTAGGCCCTGATCACACAGAAAGCGTAATTGTTTTTAATGAGAATAAAGCTTTTTGCTCGCTGGTTTTTGCATTGCGACGTGCCTCACATTTCTGCACTCTAAGCACCTGGCATTTTTGCAGGGGCGCTCTGAACTCCTTGAGTTGATAAAACTTCAACTCAGAGAGGAAAAGCACCTCACATTATCTCTTTTTTTCCACATTGTCTAATCAATTTGAGAGGCGGGCCTTCTGTGGTGGTCACGACAAGTTTACAGTTGGTAAACAATGGAGGAGAAACTGGTGGTAGCAGTTGCTGGATACCCAGAGCTATGATAGATTATGCCGACGATAAAATATACCTGGAAACGTCCATCATGGAGGAGAAGCTCCTGGACCAACTGGTGCTACTCCCCATGATTCACCTTCTTTTTAGGGTCTCATGTACCCACACAGATCTCTGTTTATCGGCTGACAGCCTCTCACCCTCAACCAGAGCTACAGACAGTACCCTCTGCCTCAACATGTCAGGAACTCGATACTAATTACTGTGAAAAAAACGGTAGATTGATTGCATCAGAGGGTTAGTGTAAGGACGTGATAGGGTGGTTTCCTGGCAACAATAAAAGGTGCAGTGTCATTCAATTACAAAAAAGTCAGTGCGGTGCGTGTTGCATTTTGCAACCTGCAAAACTTGTCTGTCTGTGAGGAGACTGGTTTAAGCAGTCAAAGGAAAAATCTCCACTGTCGCTCAGCTGTGAGTCGACCGACCGTCGTGACCTTTAAACTGTGAAATGCAGATAAAAGTCTCCTCTAAGGCTCTCTGCAGCACTTCCCTTTCAATCTGCTCACTCTCCCTTCCCCCCTTTGTTTTTTCCCACTGCCTTGTCTCAACTGTAGAGTGTAAGGAGCTAATAACAAAGGCGACAGCTGAGGAGCGTCAAGCCAATCAGAGAGCTGTTAGGCTCACACACCCTCCACACGCCTCCATCCCAAACACCTTCAACCCCACACTCTAAACATCTTGGTGATTCAACCACGAAGAAACCATCCCCCTGCCTGTTTTTTTTCCACGTCTGAGCAAGGACAAAGTGGGTCTGCTGAGCTGCTGACAATGCACATATGTGCATGTGTAGTCCTTCTCAACCCGTCCACTAAAACCTGAATGCTGCAAATAAACCTAATCACAGACTTAATTAATAAGATTTTGCCTCATCGTTTTTGCCATTTGAATTTTATATTTCTCTCAAACATCCTGCAGCACTATAGTACAAAACACACCTTCACATGGTATTCTGCAGGTATCAAAGTCCACATACACAGAACATAAATGACATTTTGCCTCAGCTCTGCATAGAAATGACTGAATAATTTTAAAGTAATTCATCTGTCGGATATAGATACTGGACAGGACAAGTCTCAAAGGGTTTGCTTCCCTTTAACTATATCTCCTCCCCTGTGACTGTCGACGTTTAATAAGGGAAAAATCAATACAGGATAATAGCTTTAACCTCACATCATCAGTCTCTCTCCTGAAAACACTGAGTGTCCCTTATATCCTGCACTCTCAGTACAGATCGGTTAGAGTGCCAGGTTTATATAACGCCTAATGCGCAGATCAGCAGTATCTGCTAACGAGGGCAGCTGCGTGGAAGCAGATAAACACTGAGGAAGGCAAACAAATTAATCTCAAACTTGGACATCCTCCGGAGCCGCTGGCCTGTTTCCTCAGTATCAGAGTCAACAGAGTGCAGAGTGAATCATCTGCAAATGGCGCTGATGTCGCCTGTGTTCCTCCTCAGCAGCCTGAGTGTGTGTTCAACATCACCCAAATGGAAAAAGAATCAAACCTACTTTAAAGGGAAATTTCGGTTTATTTCAACCTGTCTCCTATCGTCCTAAATTTGTTTCAAGTGACTAGTGACATAAAAATAATAGTCAGCATGTTAACCGTTAGCCTAGATACAGTCGGAGTGCATAGTAGCGTCAGACCTGTTAAAACGTAAGAGAACGGGCAACCTTCAAGTGCAAAGTTAGTCCACTAAACAAGCTTTTTTTCCACATAGACCGCCTCATATCGTTAGGATAAATGTCAGAGAACATATAGAAAACGACAGTTAAACGTGTTGTCTTACCTTATCGGTGTGGTGCCATGTTTGTTTACCATCTAGCTCTGCTTTCCAAAGCGCGGCTGAAATATATCTTGTGAGCTCTAGATAAAGCCCAGCTGGATACTAACGTTACTCCAGGTGGAGGTGTCTCGTCCTCGGTCACATCCAGACCTTGAAAATAAGGCTGCAACTGGTCCCATTCCTTGCAAAAGAGGCATTCCTCTTCTGTGGGCACTGGGGCACAGCATTCACAGGTACACCACCAATCTCCAGAGCTACGCAGCCTTGCAGCAGCCATTCCTCCTCTCTCGTCCTCTACCTGTTGTGCCTCTCTCTCTCTCCTCCTCCGTTCTTCAATTTCATGAAGCTCTTCGTCAGTGTATTCTGGCTCAAATAAATAAGGGCGACCATCAAACTCTGCCAAATCAAATTCCTCCTCCACAAAGTCAAAGTCTGGCAAAAAGTCAGCCATTATTCTATAAATCTTTCATAAAATAAATGAATGAACTTTTCAGGCTACTGTCCGGTTCTGCCTTCCAGCTGTTGCTGCTTGTTCTCGCGAGATTTCAGCTGCGCTTTGGAAAGCAGAGCTAAATGGTAAACAAACATGGCAGCACACTGGTAAGGTAAGACAACACATTTACATGTCGTTTTCTATATGTTCTCTGACATTTATCCTAACGATATGAGGCTGTCTTTGTAGAAAAAAAGCTTGTTTAGTGGACTAACTTTGCACTTAAAGGTTGCCTGTTCACTTAGGTTTTAACAGGTCTGATGCTACTATGCGCCCCGGCTGTATCTAGGCTAACGGCTAACATGCTAACTATTATTTTTATGTCACTAGTCACTTGAAACAAATTTAGGACGATAGGAGACAGGTTGAAATAAACCGAAATTTCCTTTTAAAGGGACAGTTCATCCCAGAATCAAAATATTGATCATTCCTTTTACCTGCAGAACTATTTATCAATCTGCTCATAGACGAGAGGCTCGTGACAGCGGTGTGTAAACATTAATGGCGTCCTCCTCGGCTGAGCTGTAACATTGGCAAGCCCAGTGGTGCTAGGTAAACTAGCAGTAGATGCACGCTTCCTTCTGTGCGGTGATACGGTTGATGGGTGTAGTTTGATACAAAGAAAATAGTTCCTGCATGAAACTGCTCACAACAAGATCTGTGGATTATCTCAAGTAACTGGGTCATGATTTCTGGAAAGAGGAGTTTCTGAAACATATTTTTTGGCGCTTTGACCACCTCAAGACATCTCTACGACCGATATCTCAAATACTCTGCAACTCACACCAAAACAATCTAGATTATTAAATAGCTCTACAGGTAAGAAGAAAAATATGTGTTTTGATTTTGGGGTGAACTGTCTCTTTGAGAAAAATGATCAGGTGCTGAAAATAATACGTTCCATCATTGTGGTTGACAGAATAAAATTCAAAAGCTCGAGTTAAACTAACAAACTTCAGGTAATATGACAGACATATGTTAAACTCTGTGAACTCAGTCAGCAGACGTGAAATGACAAGCCAGAGATTTTTAACAGGAAAGGTAATGAGGAAAAACAAGCACGCCTGTCTCCTTTGTTTGTCTGAACTGTGAACAGCCTTCAGGCGTCATCGGAGGAGGCTCACACCTCGCCGAGCACGTAAGCAAACATCAATTACTCGATTCACCTTACAGCCGCCGTGTTGCCACAGGGAGAGAAGGAACAGCGTGTAAGTGTGTGTGTGTGTGTAATAGTTAACAGAGGGCTCCAATGTCCAGCACAAGGTCCTCTGCACGTCGAAGATGCGAGGTAGAGGAGTCTTTATTCAAACAGAGATAAGAGACAATCGGCAGGCAGATGCGCTGTAAAACTGGTTTGTCATTTGAACTGACAAGTAAACAGTAGGATCTTGAAACAACACGCTCCAAGAACACAAAGATGCTGCTCCTGGTCTGACATCTATGATTCAGAGACATTATCGTTTTGATGCATGGACTCTCCAGGGCTTAATGGTTTGATGACGTGAAAGAGCCCATGGGGCACAGGGGAAAAAACAAACATGCCTCACTTTGTGTGATAAACTACTCATGACTGTTGTGTGTGTGTTTGTTAGTGTGCACATGTATGACAGGGATGTAGGGCTGCAGTGGTATACCATGAAACTGTATGTAGTGGTATAAAAACTGACATCATACCACCTGCATATGCTTATCTATACACAAACCTTTTATTACTATACTTAAAGCTTGAAACCTTTTTTAATCGACGTATGTGTTTAAAAATAACTAAAATTATGTAAAGTTTTTTTTGTCCAGTTAGATTTTTTTTCAAATAATCAAACACGGTACAATAACCATCCATTTTAATGGTAAATGGTAATGGACTGCACTTGTATCGCGTTTTTCTAGTCTCCTGACCACTCAAACTGCTTTTACACTGCATGTCACCCATTCACACACTGGTGGCCTAGGCTATTGTACACGGTGCCACCTGCTACTCAGTAACCATTCACACACACTCACACACTGATGGAACAGCCACCGGGAGCAATTTGGGGTTCAGTATCTTGCCCAAGGATGTGGACTCCTGGAGCCGGGAGCATGTCTCCTGTTGCAGAAGGACTGGAACGATATTCCTGAGCTGCACAACACTGCTTGCATTCTGTTAGCCATCTTGGTTGTGAGAGATCTGTGTTGCACTTACAACACCTGCCAGTGGCATGACACAGTAGGGTCCACTGTAGTGGCTTATATGCAACTATAACATTAAAACCCATGCAAATTAAGCATTAGACTGATAACCGATACCAATATCGATATATTCACTTGTTTCCTTACCTAATTTTAGAGATCATTGAGTCTCTTTTGCAGTGGAATTTACATATGACACATGCATACTCTTATCGTGACGGCCCACCAGCAGATGAAGACACGAAATAGAATACTTTGCAATGTATGTAGTATGGTGTGCCGATTTTATCGTGCATCCCTAATGCATACACAAGAAACTGCTTTTGAATAGCTGTCCACTGTAGTGACCACTATGTGTGAAAGGGTTAAGGGTTCTAACTGATAATAATTGTGTAATACCGCATACTGTGAAATCGCAATACTTTGAGATGACTCATTGCATGTTTTTTGTGAGTGCACATGGTTGTAAACTTAAACACATTTTGTCTATAAGTGGGCTTTTGTGTCTCTCACCTTTAGTGAACCGTAGTCCTTTTCCAGCAAACTCTTCTTTGAGTGCAGCAACAAATTTCTCCCTGATCTTTTCTCTCTGTGGAGAAAGCGCCAAAACACTCAGACTTGCTGCACACACAATGCGGGTGTATTCATTTAACACTCTGGCTACCCTCCAGTCCTCATAACACCAGTTAAATCTGAGGCAATTTGTCATGTACAGAACATGTCGGCTCCTATGATCTGATTTTATTTCATGCACGACCTCAGCTGGGAACCAGCTGCATAAATTTCAGCGGGGAACTGAAGGGTTAAACTTCTCCTCCTCTGCTGCTATCTGCTTCCTCCATATTGCCTGGCTCTGTAAACCATCAATGGACGGCCTGTTAAGCTGCTCTGAAAGCTCAACATTGTTTGACCTCTCGTGGAACAGAGGGACAGAGACAGAGAGGCGGTCTGTGACTCTCAGAGTCTGATGTTAAAGTTTGTTTAGCTTAGCTGCTTAAGTTGTGCTACTGAACACTTCAATAAAGTTTTAGTGAGTCCAAACTTTATTGCAATTTAGGCAAAATGGACAATGCTCCCAAATACAGCAGCAGAATAAGCTTGAAGCGGTGCAATAATATTTTAACTATACACATGATTTGATGTTATCCCTTGTACCATAATCCAAGATTAGCACACAAGGGCAGTGCAGAGAGAAGAGGAATCATGTGCTAACCCTCACACAGTGACCACAGACGACACCAGAGAACAGATTGCATCATTCTCCAACAGCCTGACCACAGGAGTTGAATGTCTAAACACAGGAATGTGGAAAGAATTTTACCTTGTCAATTTCAGAGAATTCGATTCGCTCCTCCTGCGTGCAGCTCCGACCAATGGGGGAAATGTTGAGCATTCCGTTCCTGAACTCGATGAACGTTCCCCTGCAGGCAGAAAAGGATGCATGGTTAGAAAAAGAATTGACTGAACTTAATCTGACTTCAGTTTGACCCAACACCAAAAGAGAGCCTTTCATTAGAGCATGTTAACGACTGTGTTTTAGCTTTATTCCTACACAGAGCTCACAATGGGGCATGTGTTGTCCTGCTCCAACTGGTCAGTGCTGTTGGGTAAAGAGATACCAGGAATACCTGGGCTGCAGGTCAGAGTACCTAATGGCCTGACTGTCTGGTTAGGTTGGTAGGTCAGTCAAATGCTGCATTTCCACTGCAAAGTACAGCAGAGCTTGACTCAGCTCAGCTCGCTCTTAGATTTTCAATTAGCAAAAGTTGTGAATAGTACCAGGTACGTTTTTTCGTATCATCTCGGCTGAGGTTCCAAGCGAGCTGAGCTGATACTAGAAAGTGGAGTTAAAACGCTGCAGACCACTGATTGGTCAGAGAGCCACTAGCATGACACAAGACATCCTGAACAAATGTGCCATTTTTAAATAGCCTAGTTATGCTTTTATGAGGAAGTACTTTTGCAGTGGAAAGCAAAATAAAGAAAACAACCTAGTACCGAAACTGAGTCAAGTTGATTCAAAGTGAGCAGGCACAAGTCTCACCTTTTCTTTGGCAGCTTGATGAGCCCCATGTAGCTGAGGCAGAAGTTGATCAGGTCCTGCAGCAGCTCTTCCCCAATCTGGTTCTGAATAGCCTGACAGGATGAAAATACACCTTGTTCATAAACACATAACAGACTCTACTTTTCCTATTGTTGCACGTGACTTCAACTATAATTATCAAGCTGAGTTTTTCCTCTGTGTATCCGTATGGTTTGAGATGGAGGAAAAGAGGTCACCTAGGTAGATTCCCAGTTGTATCTTAACTTCCTTTTAAGACCTTCTTTAGACTTGATTTGTAGAAAATGGTTTCTGTAATGTGAACTGAAATTAAATGCACCTTGTCTACTCAACATAACCAGTTTAGGCTGATTGATTACTTCATTCGTCTTATTTCTTTGCCGGTAAACATAAAATGTGAATACATGAAGTATGTATGTACAATGATGCAGTCCTATGTCAAACAGATAATGTGCTGCACACCAGCAGACATTGTGAACGTGAGAAATGTGACTGTGTGTTCACTTACATGCTTTGAGAGAAGTTTCCCATCTTTGTATTGCACTGTCCCGTTCTCAGCAAACACATAGTCAAACTTGTGTATCACTGCAAAGAGAGGAGACAGGTGAAATGTGGTTACATGTGCTCATCTGGTTCTTTAAAGGCACACTACTGCAAGTGCTTACATTACATAGCCAACACAGCTACATGGAGCAACATGCTAATGTCAGGGAAGCATTCAAACTTGGTTGCTGATGTTTTTAATTTCTTCCTGATTTTGAAACATTTGTGAAGGTGTTTGGTCTAGAAGCTTTTACTGATCATTTTTAATGGTACAAAGTACCGCTATATTCAGTTACAGTCATTCCCCAGCTGCAGGTACAATGCTACATGTAGCTACATGCTAACACCATGGAAAAATGTTAACATGGTTGATTAGGTGTAGAAGCTTTTATTGGTGATTTTTCATGGTACACAGTGCCACTATTCTCTGTTGCAGTCCTCTGCTGCAATGACAGCGCAGAGACACCAAGATATGTAGAGCAGACTAGGCTTTATCGTGAGGGGGGCTTAAAGAGACAGGTGTTAAAATGGAGGAGAGGGTGGACACAGGTGTTCCAGCTCAAACAGTATGAGGGAAATAAAGACTTTTTTGATCAATAAAGCATGTAAACATGTTCTAGCAGAAACCTTTACTACAAGTGTGAACCTGAAGATGTGCAGAATTTGTCCCCTTTAAAACCAACGCACTCGACTTAGAAGAATAGAACAGCCTGCTATATTTACCTGGTAGCAGATTACAGTGTAACACTGCCTGGAAAAAGCCAAGTTTAATCTGTCTGACCTTCCCACTCACTTTGGCCTCTAAGTGCCCTGCAAGCAACACTGTGCAGTGAAACTCTGTAACTTTGCCTAATCAAAAAGCTGCTTGATCATTGTAACCTGCAAAACAGCACAATCCAGCAATCTGATGGCACGTAGAAGATGATAAAGCAATAAAATGTTCCCACAACTGGGTTACAAATGTAATAAAACATGTTATTGGAAAGATACGTTCATTCATTTTCTGTAACTGCTTATCCTGTTCAGAGTCACAGGGGAGGGCTGGAGCCTATCCCAGCTGACACTGGGTGAGAGGTTTGGACAGGTCACCAGACAATCACAGGGCTGACACATAGAGACAGACAACCATTCACACTCACATCCACACCCACGGACAATTTAGAGTTACCAGTTAACCTGTATGTTTCTGGACTGTGGGAGGAAGCCGTAGTAATCTTACAGTAGTTCTTGACAGATGATCACATTATCCAGCTGCTACAACAACATCTACTGCGACTCTGTGCACCATGAAGTATGAAATGATTAACCTTTAGCACACTTGGCAACGTTATGAAACCACATAGCTCCCTCTTGGCACAATACATCTGCATTCTAGCTCCAATTGCCTCATATTTACAGGCTGACAAGTTTTCATCCTGTCCACACAGCCGTGTGTTAACTTAGCTGGGAGATTGTTGGCGCTGCATTGTGAGGGTCACTGTGCCAGTGTGTTTTGGCAGCAGGTTGAACAAAGTAAATTATAGTAAACAACTGGAGGTGTGCTTGAGTTCAGATGTTGTGTTCATTTGTTGAACTGTGGCTCCCGACGTGCTGTTAACGAAATCATATTAAGACAATCATCTGTCTTCAATGGAGTCTGCTGCTGCCCACAGGATCATATGCTGCCGCCAGGGCAATGCCATGTTAATGACCCAGAGACAGAGGTGGACACCAAGCTGCAGCTCTTTGAATGACCACTTGAGGCTGGTTCTTGAAGCGAGTCAAACCCTGTAGACCACCATGTTAAAATGCCCAGCTCTGCAGCAGAAATAAACATGTAAATCATCTTTTGTGGTACAAAAAAAGTTCTGGTCTCTATAATTAATTTCCACCTCCATGACAACTATATGAGGAATGAATTTTTATATAACTCACCCGTCTGCATCTTATTCAGGCTTTAAGCTACATATAATTAAGGACGAGGCGACATTGAGTGACAGGCTGACTGCTGATAGTGTCCTTAGCTTCTCAGTCAGAGAAGCAGGTCCAGCCTCTTGCCCAAATATACTCACTTCTGGCTTCAAAAACCAAGATGGCGACGGCCGATGTGCCAAACTCCAGGCTTCCAAATGGGAGTCCACAAATCAATGGGTGACGTCACGGAAGCTACGCCCATCATTTTTACAGTCTATGATGGACATCTATAGAGGAGACAATCCCTGATCTGTTTCACTGGTGGAAAGGATCTGCAAACTTTCTGTTACAGTTCAAAGTCTGCCTGGTAAGACTGAACTAACACAGCAACAGCAGCTAACATCCAAGCTGTTAAACAGTCCCAACAAACTCACACTGACACCGAAACTACTCCACTCAGTGTTTGTGTGCAGGGGAGGTGGACTCTCAACATCGATACGTGCAGCTCTACAATGACATCAGTCACAAAACATTTCTCACAACAAGGTCTGTGGATTATTTGAGTAAGCGGGTCATGATTTCTGGAAAGAGACATTGGAGTTGAGTTTTTTAGATGTATTTTTTTGGCGCTCTGAGCACTACAAGCTGAGTGCCATCTAGTTCCATTTATTGGAGAGAAGGCTGACATCTCTACGGCTGATATCTCCAACACTCTGCAACTCACACATGGCGGCTGTGGCTCAGAAGGTAGAGTGGGTTGTGGGTTCTAATCAGAAGATTGGCAGTTCAATGCCCGACAAGTCTGCATGTCAAAGACAAGCCCTCTCTGGGGTTTGTCTTCCGAAGGAGCTGGCCTCAAGTGGTCATTCAAAGAACTGCAGTTTTTGGCACTTTTGTGTTGGCTTCATTTTTCAACCCCGGAGGTTGCAGCTTGGTGTCCACCTCTGTCTCTGGGTCATAATGTAGGTGAGGGGTGCTGTAGTTGCCTTGAGCATGATACTTAGCCCCAAATTGCTCCCAGTAGTTGTTGCATTGGCGTGTGAGTGTGTTAAAAAGTGAATAGCAGGTGGCAACTTGTATGGAAGCCTCGGCCACCAGTGTAAGAGATGTAAGAGGAAAATATGTATTTCTGATTTTGGGGGTGAACTGTCCCTTTAAGACAGCCTAAATCTCACATTATTCCCAGGGACCATCCTCTCTGCTCCACTCTCTGAGGACTGGTGTCCAATAAAGCAGAAGTTATAATGAAAAGTGTGAGGTAATGCAGTGTGATCCAGCTGGGTGAATGATGCAGCCTGCAGGGTATGAACCATCTGCGGTCGAGACAGGAAGAGAGGACTGCTCACCATCATCCCCCTCCCCGAGCTGCTCGGCTATCTTGGAGTAGTCCGACCCTCCCACGATGCCGATCTTCACTTTCCTCCGCAGGGTCTGGAAAAACTCATCCAACTGTGGATCGATTTTCTGCAGAATACAGGGAAACGTTAATGCCTCAAACACACACACATATGTACCATCATTAAAAATCTAAATGTGTGTGATGCACTGTGCTACTGAAGCATAATTACACAGAGAGAACACAGAACAAAGGACACGGCTGCAATCTTTGCCTTTGTGGTGTTAGATTTTGGCATGGATGTCTAATTATTGCAACATATGGCAGAAAAAGCTCGGAGCTGCACACAAGGGAGCCTGCATTATGTAATTTCAGGGTGCTGAGACAGACTCACACACACACACACACACACACACACACACACACTCGCAGCAGTTACCTCAGATGAACCCAAGCATTCAACCCCATTGACAACAGGAAGGAAGAAGAATGAAAAATAACTGAATATAAAGAGAGATATTTCTCCTCTAAATCTTACATGAATATCTAAATGATAACCCTAAAAAACAGGTTTAGGAACATGGCATTTATTTATTTAATGGCATATTAATTTTAAAAAGCATATTCAAAAAGCCCACGTGAGGTGACAGATTTGGGGAAGTTTCCTTGTGTGTTTAGGCTCTTAAATAGGTCAGCACACATAAACAGAACTATACATTACCAGACTGCATACCATGTGTGTCAACAGAAATACCACTGGTGTGTGTGTGCAGGGGGGACACACAGAGCGCATGAATATGTAAACAGAGTATGAGAAAGCATTAAGACGACAGTGTGCTCCCACCTTGAACATAAGTCAGAGGCAGATTATGCAGCCAGAGGAGCTGCAGAGGAGCAGGGGTCTGTCATACAGCTTGTAATAACCGATAATATCGATATATGGATGGATGTGAGCTCACCTCTCTCGGTGGTGTCAAAGTGCCGTCCACGTCAAACAGGCAGAGGATGTTTCTGTCCGCGGAGAAGCCGTTTGCTTTCTCCATTTCTTCTTCTTCTCTTTTGGGGTTGCACTTCAATCGCAAGTGTCACAGGTCCACGCTCGAGCACACAAACGTGCAATAACGCACGTTCACATGAGAAATTAATGCTCAAGTCAGTTTGAATATTCAAATAAGTAAATCAGACTTTTAAAAGAGGTATTTTAAATGTCCTCGTGCACGCTGACAGCCACTTCTTCCTCTTTTTCTGACTCGGGTGCACAGTCCTGCGGCTGTCCCGGCTCGGATCGGCTCAGCTCGGTTCCAGTGACACCGCTCCGCTCGCACCAACAAACAGCGCAAACGTGGAGGATTTCTTTTGCAACACTGGAACCCACCCGGCGGCCAATCACAGCCAGGCTGCCGTGACGTCGACGAGTGGGCGGGGCAGTTTATCGATATGCAGCTCAAGAGCCAGCTGACCTTTCACCTAGAAATGAAGGAGTGGGTGTGATGGATGCTGCTCAAAGTCACACCAGGAAACAGTGTGTGTAGTATAAATAGTTTGTGTCAGTGATGTCTGATTATCAATGAGAGGAGAATGTGTTACAGCTGTCTGGAGAGTAAATACTGAAGAATAATAAACATGCCCAAACCCTTTATGACCACACTGTGGTCATAAAGGGATGGACACGGTCAGCAATAATACTCAGGTAGGCTGTGGTGTTTAAACCATGCTCAGTTGGTGCTAAGAAAATCTCCCCCACACCATTACACCACCAGCAGCAGCAGCCTGAAGCGTTGATACAAGGCAGGATGGATCCATGCTTCCATCTGAATGTGGTTTTTCCAATCTTCTATTGTCCAGTTTTGGTGAGAAAACCGTGTGAATTGTAGCCTCAGTTTCCTGTTGTTAGCTGACAGGAGTGGCACCTGGTGTGGTCTTCTGCTGCTGTAGCCCATCTGCTTCAAGGTTGGACAAGGTGTTGTTGCTTCAGAGATGCTCTTCTGCACACCTTGGTTGGAACCAGTGCTTATTTGACTTCCTGTTGCCTTTCTATCATCTTGAACCAGTCTGGCCATTCTCCTCTGACCTCTGGCATCAACAAGG